CGTAAATGCTTTGATGTCGCTGGTTAATCTGCAGTCGTTTGAATCTAAGCATTATATCCTTGAGTATCTTTAGGAATTTCCTAAAAAGCACATCTAACCAATTCTCTCCGTAACTATCTGTAATTTTTAAAAATTTGTCTATAGATTTTTGATATAATTTCTGTATTTCTTCCTCCTGCGCTATAGTGGCTTCGAGTTCTATACATTTTTGCGGTCCTATTGCAGTTATCAGCTCTTCTAGTATTTTTATGTTACTAGATTCAGCAGCGTAATGCAAAGCTGTTTTGCCATCATTATCTTGTATTTGAAGCAAATTACTAACTGCTTGCTGTTGTGATCCAGCTAACTTTCTTTGATCTATCCTTAGCCCTTGCATACATTCTTTTTCTCCATTTCTTGTTCTTCTTATTTTCTGTATTTCTTCCTCCTGCGCTATAGTGTCTTCGAGTTCTATACATTTTTGCGGCCTTATTGCAGTTATCAGCTCTTCTAGTATTTTTGTGTTACTAGATTCAGCAGCGTAATGCAAAGCTGTTTTGCCATCATTATCTCGTATTTGAAGCAAATTACTAACTGCCTGCTGCTGCGATTCAGCTAACTTTCTTTGATCTATCCTTAGCCCTTGCATACATTCTTTTTCTCCATTTCTTGTTCCTTTTATTTTCTGTATTTCTTCCTCCTGCACTATAGTGTCTTCGAGTTCTATACATTTTTGCGGCCTTATTGCAGTTATCAGCTCTTCTAGTATTTTTGTGTTACTAGATTCAGCAGCGTAATGCAAAGCTGTTTTGCCATCATTATCTTGTACAAGAAGGAAATTAATAACTGCCTGCTGTTGTGATTCAGCTAACTTTCTTTGATCTATCCTTAGCCCTTGCATACATTCTTTTTCTCCATTTCTTGTTCCTCTTATTTTCTGTATTTCTTCCTCCTGCGCTATAGTGTCTTCGAGTTCCATACATTTTTGTGGCCTTATAGCGGTTATCAGCTCTTCTAGTATTTTTGTGTTACTAGATTCAGCAGCGTAATGCAAAGCTGTTTTGCCATCATTATCTCGTATTTGAAGCAAATTACTAACAGCCTGCTGTTGTGATTCAGCTAACTTTCTTTGATCTATCCTTAGCCCTTGCATACATTCTTTTTCTCCATTTCTTGTTCCTCTTATTTTCTGTATTTCTTCCTCCTGCGCTATAGTGGCTTCGAGTTCTATACATTTTTGCGG